CCCCCATTCTGATTTCTCCCCATTTACGCAAACTCTCTGCTGCCTATTTGTCAGCTATGCCTCTACCCAGGAAAAAATTTCTCTTCCTATCCATGTGCCTTAAGTTTCCTCAATAGCCTCTAATGTGGAACTCTATCGAAAGCCTTACTGAAGTCCATATATAAATTATCATATTCATTACCATGATCTACCTCCTCAAACACCTTAGTGAAGAAAGTTAATAAATTCGTAAGACAGGAACGCCACTTTGTAAAACCGTGTTGAGATTCATTAATCAATTTATGCCTATCAAGATGGCTACAAATTGCTTCGGCAATTATTGATTCCATAAATTTTCCCACTATGGAGGTAAAGCTTATTGGTCTATAGTTCAAAGCTAAGGACCTGTCACCTGCCTTGTAAATAGGTATAACATTTGCCATTTTCCACTTATCAGGCACCATACCAGTTAGCAGTGATATGTTGAAAAGATCTGCCAAAGGTATGCTAAGTTCCTATTTACATTCCTTTAACACCCTAGCAGACAGTTCATCAGGGCCTGGGGATTTGTTAGGTTTTAATTTCTCAATTTGTCTGAGGACCATGTTACTAGTTACCACAATCATGCATAGTTTAATATTGTCCTGTTCTACATAATCTATTATTTCAGGAATTTTGCTAGTATTTTCCTGGGTAAAAACTGAGAGGAAGTAGGTATTGAAAATTTCACACATATCCTTATGACTGTCAGTGATCTGACCAGTTACTCTTAAGTGGACCTATCTTGTCCCTAATCTTACTTCTGTATACCTGAAAGAACCCTTTTGGGTTAGTCTTCCAACCCTTTGCAACCTTAGCCTCATAATCCCTTTTTGCTTTTCTTATTCCTTTTTTTTATTTCTCTCTTTAATTGAATATATTGATTTCTTAACTGCCCATCCGCTCTTTTGATTCCTGTCATATGAGTAAGGCACGACTGGTTATAGCAATGGAAGGATAACCAACATCCTGGAGGAGTAGAGTGGAGAACATATATATACAGTGGACCCCCGGTTAATGATATTTTTTCTCTCCAGAAGTATGTTCAGGTGCCAGTACTGATCGAATTTGTTCCCTTAAGGAATATTGTGAAGTAGATTAGTCCATTTCAGACCCCCAAACATTCACGTACAAACGCACTTACATAAATACACTTACATAATTGGTCGCATTCGGAGGTGATCGTTATGCGGGGGTCCACTGTACTACTAAAGGCTGCATGAAAGAACAAAAGAAGTGAACAAGCCAGACTAAGATGTATATATGTAGGTCTCCCAGATGAATTTTTCTTCATGACTATCCCCCTCCCTCCCCAACTATGGGAATTTTGAGGTATATGAAACAGAAATAAACCTGAGCTTTTTTAAATAAATATACTGTTGTATCTGTACGCCTCTGCAAAGACAATGATTAAGTATAAATGATGGTGAAAGTGTTGAATGACGACAAAAGTTTTTTTTCTTCTTTTTGGGTTTTTCTTTCTTTTGGGATCACCCTGCCTCAGTGGGAAATGGCCAACATTTAAAAAAAAAAAAATTTTTTTAATAAAACATAACTGTAATATTGGTTGTCCTTCACGATATTCTTAACCCTTTGACTGTTTCGGCCATATATATACGTCTTAAGAGCCAGTGTTTCGGACGTGTATATACTCAAAAATTCTAGCGGCTTCAAATCAAGCGGGAGAAAGCTGGTAGACCCACATGTGAGAAAATGGGTCTGTGTAGTCAGTGTGCGCTGTATAAAAAAATCCTGCAGCACGCAGTGCATAATGAGAGAAAAAAAACTCTAACCATGTTTTTGGATTAAAATGCCGACTTTGAGGTGTACGTATTTTTGTATAGTATTTATGGATGCATTCTCATTTTCTTGGTCTCATTTAATAGAATGGAAAACATATTACAGTGGACCCTGGACCAACGATGGCATCGTATAACGTTAAATCCGACTAGCGATACATTTTAACACAAAAATTTTGCCTCAACTAGCGCTAAAAAACTCGACCAACGCGATTCGTTCCGTTCGAGACGCGTCCACGTGTGGCCTGAGCGCGCACGCTTGTCCCGTGGGTGCCAGTGTTTACAAGCCAGCCACTGCGGTCGCATCCAAACATACAATCGGAACATTTCATATCACAACGTTTTTAGTGATTGCACCTGCAAAATAAGTCACCATGGGCCCCAAGAAAGCTTCTAGTGCCAACCCTGTGATAAAAAGGGTGAGAATTAGTATGGAAATTAAGAAAGATTTTGAAGGGTTTGGGGCTAACCCTGAGATGCCTATGCCAGTTGTGGAATCCATTTTGCCTACTTCAAAGATTAAGGAAATGTGTGCAAAGTGGGCTGAACTGCAAACCTTTATGGATGAAAATCACCCTAACACAGCTATTGCAAGCCGTGCTGGTGACTATTACAATGACAATATTATGGCCCATTTTAGACAAATCTTAAAGGAACGGGAGGTACAGAGCTCTATGGCCAGATATGTTGTGCGACAGAGGTCCAGTGACTCTCAAGCTGGTCCTAGTGGCATTAAAAGAAGAAGGGAAGTAACCCCAGAAAAGGACTTGACACCTCAAGTCCTAATGGAAGGGGATTCCCCTTCTAAACACTAACACCATCCACACTCTCCCCTCCTCCCATCCCATCAATCATCACCAGATCTTCAATAAAGGTAAGTGTCATACAATTGTACATGTATTCTTCAGTTTGTGTGTATTAAAATTAATATTTCATATGGTAAAATTTTTTTTTTTCAATACTTTGGGGTGTCAGGAACGGATTAATATGATTTCCATTATTTCTTATGGGGAAAATTAACTCGACTAATGATAATTTCGACTAACGATGAGGTCTCAGGAACGGATTAATATCGTTGGTCGAGGGTCCACTGTATAGAAATAGAGATGATTTTGATTAGTTTCATAATGAAAATGACCTTGAAATTGAGCTCAAAGTAGCAGAAATGTTCGATTTCTGCCAATGTTCAAGAGTAAACAAATCATGCCACACGTCCAATACACGTCAACTGGTGAGTCTAATATTCTTTTACAAGTGATATTATTTATACCATTTTTACAATAATGCAGTAGTCAGCATAACAGTAAATCTTCTATTTTTTGTATGAATAAAATGATCAAAATAGAAAACAAGAGTAATATAAGAGGGACCTGGAAACATGACTAATGAACAGAGGAAATGTTATTTTAGTGCCAGGAATGTCTGCATTGTTTATTCTGGGCCCTATTTTGAAATTTGCATCTTTTTGAATTTACACGAAATTGGCTAAATTGTCAATTTCTGACCACTTTATTGGGTAGTTGAAATTGGTAAATGGGCGGTTTCTTGTACTCAATCAGTAGAACAAATGGAGTTCTAAAGAAATAGCTATGAGTTTCGTCGACTGGGACAATGGAATTGACAGAAAATAGGGCTCAAAGTCGCTGATGTGTAACTATCACCGAGATCGCTAATTTCGCGAGAGCGTAATTCCGTAAGTTTTCCATAAAATTTCGCACTTTTGGCGTCATTAGCATCAGTAAAAGATTCTCTATCATTTCATAAGATAAAGGATTTTTTTTTTCTTTCAAAAATTTTTCGACAAAGAATGATTGTTTCAGAGATATGCTTGTGACAGTCAAAGGGTTAAATGATGGAGTAAGCTTTAACTTTATATGATAAAATATTAACCCTTTGACTGTCGCGGCCATATATATACGTCTTACGAGGTACCGTGTTTGACGTACATATACTACTCATAAATTCTAGTGGCTTCAAATCAAGCAGGAGAAAGCTGGTAGGCCCACATCTGAGAGAATGGGTCTGTGTGGTCAGTGTGCACCACATAAAAAAAAATCCTGGAGCACACAGTGCATAATGAGAAAAAAAAACTCAGACCGTTTTTTTAATTAAAATGCCGAATTTGTGGTCTATTTTCATATAGTATTTATGGCTGTATTCTCGTTTTCTTGATCTCATTTGATAGAATGGAAAACATATTATAGAAATGGAGGTGATTTTGATTGATTTTACTATAAAAAGAACCTAGAAATGGAGCTCAAAGTAGGGGAAATGTTTGATTTTTGCCAATGTTCAAAAGTAAGCAAATGATGCCATTGTCCAATAAATGTCCAACTAGCCATTCTAATATGCAGTCATGAATGGTTTGATGTTATTTATACAATTATTGCAGTAGTCTGCATAATAGTAAGTCTTCTATTTTTTGTTTGAATAAAAATTCAAAATAGAAAGCAAGAGTAACATCAGAGGGGCCTGGAGACATGACTGATGAGCAAAGAAAATGTTATTTTAGAGCCAAGAATGTCTGCATTGTTCATTCTGGACCTTATTTTGAAATTGTCATATTTTTTTAGTTTTCGTGAAATTGGCCAAATTGCAAATTTCTGACCACATTATTAGGTAGTTGAAATCGGTAAATGGGCAGTTTCTTGTACTCAGTCGATAGAAAAAATGGAGTTCTAAGGAAATAGCTATGAGTTTGGGCGACTGGAACAATGGAATTAGCAGAAAATAGGGCTCAAAGTGGGCGAAATCGCCGATTTGTAAACAGCGCTGAGGTCGCTAACTTCGCGAGAGCATAATTCTGTCAGTTTTCCATCAAATTTCGTTTTTTTTGGTGTCATTACAATCGGAAAAAGATTCTCTATCATTTCATAAGAAAAAATAATTTTTTTTTTAAATTTTGCGACACCAGGAGACACCTCAGGATTGGGGGTTGTGACAGTCAAAGGGTTAATCTAAATTCCAATTTTTTTTAGGGTTAATAAACACTGAAATTTTAATTGTTATGCCAATAAAGTGAAAAAAAAAGGCACAAAAAAGATTACCACAACCTTAGAGTTATGTCAATTTCGTATTCAGTATATTGTTAAATTATGTGTATTATAAACATTATGAAGCTTTCAAAATAAAGTCATTCTGATAATTTAATGAAGGAAAAGAAGATTAACAAATGTACTCTACCATTAAGATCTGCTGGATTGATAAAATGCACTCGGCTTCTATAATTTCCACAGGAGGATCGGCCACCAGTGGGTCTGCGGTCTCCTTGTTGCCCTCGATACTGACCAGCTTGAAACTGGCCAGGATCACCATCTTCAGCACCAGGTGAGGTTATACCTTCACCTGAAACACGGAAACAAGAATTAGGTAATGGTACAATAAAAGGAAGACGATTAAGGCAACATCAAGAGTTAAGAGTACATACTAAGAAAAGATCATTCAAGATTAACATTAAAGAACAAAAAGGCACAATATCGTGACTGGAACAATACAGGGGAGGGGGAAGGCCCCGCTTTACGGCTATTTGCTAATACAGACATTTCAAATTATACCCAAAAATTCATTTATATGGCTCCCTGATTCTCTATTACGGTGTCCGTGTGCCACTCATGTTTGTTTACAACTTCCATGAGCTCCATGTCTCAATTATGCCTTGAAACTTTACAAAGTTTCAAGTGTTTTAAAGTTATTGCATATTTGAAGTTATTGCATATGTACTCTGATAATTGTACTTATCTGTACCTGCACCTAAATAAACTTACACATTGTGGTGGCATGCAGGTACATTTAAAATCATTGAGTGTCTCACTAGTATTAAAGAGACAATAAGTGGTACCTGCATATACAGGTACCACTGTACATACAATCAGAGTAAACAAATTATCATAATTGTGAGCGTAGTAGCCAGGAGGAGTAAAGGCGTGTATGACAATAATTACTATAACAAGTTTTCTCTGGTAAAAACACCATCAGAGACAATGTATACAGTATTACTGGGGGTAACTGTAAAAAACCATTCCTTTCACTCATAAACAGCATCACTCGCTCTCAAAAAGGTGTGATGCATGAGATCCTTTCACTCATAAATAGCATCACTCACTCTCAAAAAGGTGTGATGCATGAGAATGGGAGTGTTGCTGTTATGTATTCTACTGAACAAATGTGAAGACAACTTGTACACAATGTAAGGTGTTTGTATTATGATGAAAAAGTTTCACCACAAAGACTGATTATGTGTGAATGATGGTGAAAGTGTTTCTTTCTTTTTTGAGTCACCCTGCCTCTGTGGGAGACAGATGGTGTTGAAAAAAAAAGGAATAATAATAATAAAAACAATAATCACTCTGGGGCACTTTAACCCTTTGAGGGTTTTGGTTGTACTAGTACGTCTTATGCGTAGGGGTTTTTGACGTACTAGTACGCATAAATTCTAGCGGCCTCAAATCTAGTGGGAGAAAGCTGGTAGGCCTTCATATGAAAGAATGGGTCTATGTGGTCAGTGTGCACAGTCTAAAAAAAATCCTGCAGCACACAGTGCATAATGAGAAAAAAAAAACTTTGACCATTTTTTTGGAAAAATCAGCGACTTTGCAGTGTATTTTCGTATGGTATTTATTGTTGTATTCTAGTTTTCTTGTCTCATTTTATAGAATGGAAGACATATTACAGAAATTGAGATGATTTTGACTGGTTTTACAATGAAAGGTCCCTTGAAAATTGAGCTCAAAGTAGCAGAAATGTTCGATTTTTACCAAACTTCAAAAGTAAACAAATCGTGCCAAGCGTGCAATACACGTCAACGGGTTTGAGTCTAATATTCTTTACAAGTGCACCAATAATATTTATACCATTTTTTACACTAATGCAGTAGTCTGCATAACAGTAAATCTTAAATTTTTTTTGAGAATAAAAAATTCAAACTGGAAAGCAAAAGAATATAAGAGGGGCCTTGAGACGTGACTAATGACTAGAGGAAATGTCATTTTAGTGCCAGGATGTCTTTCTTGTTTATTCTGGACCCTATTCGGAAATTGGCATCTTTTGAAATTTGTGTGAAATTGGCAAAATTGCTAAATTCTGACCACTGTACTGGATAGTTGAATTTCATAAATGGGTGGTTTTCTTGCACCCATTCGATAGAAAAAGGGAGGTTCTAGCGAAATATTCATGTTTTTTGTCGACTAGTACAGTGAAATTGGCCGAAAATGGGGCTCAAAGTGGGCAAAATCGCCGATGCGTAAACATCGCCGAGACCGCTAACTTTGCGAGAGCTTTAATTCCGTAGTTTTCTATCAAATTTCAAACTTTTTGGTGTCTTTATGATCGGGAAAAGATTCTCTATCTTTTCATAAGAGAAAATAATTTTTTTTTTTTAAATTTGGCCGACCCTGAGAACGAGTTTCGGAGAGGGCCTGTCGACCCTCAAAGGGTTAAATGTTGTGTATTATGTTATTATAGACATTTTCATTAATCCATATATTACATTTTTTTCAAAATTACATAAGAAACATATTATATATCATATAAACAAAATACATGTATATACAATCATAGTAAAACAAATTAACATAATTGTGAGGTCAGAGGCGTTGCTAGCGTTGGTGTCACTCGGGGCGGCATCTTTGGTGTTACCCCTGGCCACAAAATAGAGCGAAACACCAACGTCAAAGACCTGGGAGTGATCATGTCAGAGGATCTCACCTTCAAGGACCATAACATTGTATCAATTGCAGCTGCTAGAAAAATGACAGGATGGATAATGAGAACCTTCAAAACAGGGATGCCAAGCCCATGATGACACTCTTCAGGTCACTTGTTCTATCTAGGCTGGAATATTGCTGCACACTAACAGCACCTTTTCAAGGCAGGTGAATTGCTGACCTAAAAAATGTACAGAGAACCTTCATGGCGCACATAACGGAGATAAAACACCTCAATTACTGGGAGCGCTTGAGGTCCTGAACCTGTATTCCCTGGAACGCAGGCAGGAGAGATACATGATTATATACACCTGGAAAATCCTTAGAGGGACTAGTACCGAACTTGCAAAAGAAAATCACTCACTACGAAAGCAAGAGACTTGGCAGACGATGCAACATCCCCCCACTGAAAAACAGGGGTGTAAACTAGCACTTTAAAAGAGACCATACAATAAGTGCCCAGGGGCCCGAGACTGTTCAACTGCTTCCCAGCATACATACGGGGTTATCCCCAATAGCCCCCTGGCAGTCTTCAAGCTGGAAACTGGACAAGACCTAAAGTTGGTACCTGACCAGCCGGGCTGTGGCTCGTACGTTGGTTTGCGTGCAGCCAGCAGTAACAGCCTGGTTGATCAGGCTCTGATCCACCAGGAGGCCTGGTCACACACCGGGCCGCAGGGGTGTTGACCCCCGGAACTCTCTCCAGGTAAACTCCAGGTAAACCCCCATGAAATCCAGGGGTGGGGGGATAGGGGGGAGTAAACTCCATTTAAGTCACTGCTGAATGACCAGTGACTAATGTTTAGCAATGAGAACGTTTAAGGGCCATACACTAAACAGGAGAATACTTCTTAACTTTATTAAACCCTTTCAGGGTCCCAAAAGGGCCCAAATTTCAAAGTGCACACCAGTGTCCAAGAATTTTCAAAAAATAATTTTGTTATCTTTTCTTATGAAATAGTAGAGAATCTTTTTCTGAAGGCAATAAAACGAAAAGTACGAAATTTGATGGAAAATTGACGAAATTATTGCTCTCGCGAATTTTGATGTGTCAGCAAAATTTACGCATCGACAAATTTTCTGACTTTGACTCCCCTTTTAGGCCAATTATATTACTCCAGTTGACCAAATTCTTAGCTATTTCGCTAGTATTACTTCTTTCTATCGACTGAGCTTAAGAAATCGCCAAGTCAACTGTTTCAACTACAAAATAAAGTGATCAGAAATTGGTAATTTGGCCAATTTAACCAAAAATTCAAAATAATTCCCAATTTCAAAATAGGGTCCAGAATAAACAATGCAGACATTCCTGGCACTAAACTAGCATTTCCCCTGTTCATTAGTTATGTTTTCAGGCTTACAAATGAATTCCATTTTTTATTTTTTATCCACATAATGAAATTTTATTCA